CCACACTGGCTGGAATGGCCACAGGCGTCCTGCTAGTTTCAGAGGAAACTGTCTAGGCAGAATTATATCAAATCTGTTCCATGATCATTGTTAATAACATATCAGGAAACTATCCAGCTTTGGCAAAAGGAAGTAATGAAACGATTTATTAGGTCTTTCTCCCCCTTCCTACAGCCGGGAATATCAGCAATTACATAAGCAGCTGTAACAATAATTAGTATTGCTGCTGGAGTATAACAGATCATTAGGTTTTCCAGCTAGGAGATAAACTGTTTGCAACTCCACACTCACCTGTGCCCTGCTTATTTATTTGTCGAGCCAATTCTCTTTTGCCAAGAGGGGGGGCAATTATTGCTTAATTATCTCATCATTTGGAGACACTGAACAAGTCATGTTCTCCTAGTCACAAGCAGAAAGCAAAAACAGTACGCTCAATGACTTGCACTAGGAAACTTCCGTCCCCGTATCAAAGATTTCATTATAATATTATTTTGTAATAATAACAACATTCAAAATGGGGGGAAAAGCTAGAACCAGGAATCGGTGCAAAACCTGCAGTTCTTCTCCAGCTTCCAGGAAACACTGATTGGTAAAGAGTGGAACTCCATGGCACGGAAGGGCATTTCTCCATATATTTGCCATGCACCCTGGCATTTCTGGATGGTGCCAATGGCTTGTGGAGGAAGCCTGTAGTTGCCATTTGCCTGAAGCCCAGGTTGCTAGTTCGACTGTGTACCAGCGGTGTGATCACAAGAAAGAAAGAAGATGGCAGTTTGGACGACTTGCAGAGTTGTCCAATGTGACTTCATTCTACACATTGTTTCACAGTTTTGTTTTCCAAAACACTCTTGTTTATTATTTATTTAAAATATGTATCTGCTGCCTTTAGCCTAAAGGATCCAAAGTGACTTACAGTATTAAAAGAAACAAAGGTAAAAACCCAATCAGTGATGTATAAATATTTTCCATGCTGGATCTCATTTTTCCTACGGCTGAGGAAGTGGACTTGTTCATGAAAGCTCACATTAAAACATGTAACAGTTGAGTCTTTAAAGGTAAAGGTTCCCCTTGACAATTTTTGTCCAGTCGTGTTCGACTCTAGGGGGCGGTGCTCATCCCGGTTTCCAAGCCATAGAGCCAGCGTTTTGTCTGAAGACAATCTTCCGTGGTCACATGGCCAGTGCGACTTAGACACAGAATGCTGTTACCTTCCCACCGAAGTAGTCCTTATTTATCTATTTGCATTTGCATGCTTTTGAACCGCTAGGTTTGCGGGAGCTGGGACAAGCGACGGGAGCTCACTCCGTCGCGTGGATTTGATCTTACGACTGCTTGGTCTTCTGACCCTGCAGCACAGGCTTCTGCGGTTTAGCCCGCAGTGCCACCACGTCCCTTTAGTTGAGTCTTTAAGTTGACACATTTTTCTCTTTTTGTTTTTTAGTTTTAAATTTTCTTTTCTTTTCACCAGCAAAGCCCAACGTTGGGGGTTCGAATCCCCCACAGTACTTCATTAACAGAGGCTGGACTTGATGATCTGTAAGGTCCCTTCCAGCTCTGCAGTTCTAAGATGGCGATGATTGGCCATGAATCTTCTACAGACACAGGACAATCCCCATCTCTGATCCTTTTTTAGTTGTGGACTACATAAAATGTTTTCCTCTCTCTTTTTTTGTAATTATTAAGTTCCAAATCTGGGGTTAAAACGCTTTGTTGAGTGATTACAAACTCTAACAGAGAGCTGGTACCAGCAAGTGCTGGTTGCCCATGTTTCACCCAGCTTAGAGAAGAAAAAGGGACACTAGGTAGCAAAGATTCTCAATCAGTGCTTTGGGTGGGTACCCGATACCACCATCCCCACCACCCCAGGAATAATTCTTGCTCCACACCTTTGTTCCAATAGCATTAAAGATGGTCAAATTTGCCTATTTCTCCTCTCTCCTCTCTGCAGCCCAATTCATTTTTTAACCCTTTGCCATTTCCCCCTTTAGTATTACCACGTTGTCATTCTAAGCCTTTAAAATCCTCAGGGGCTTCAGCCTTTCCTTGCACACATTTTCCAACCTTGTTGATCATTCAGCTGCTCCTCTTTTTTGTGATTAAGCAGTACAATACATTGCTACTTGCAATAAACCTTGAAGCTAGCTAGGGTGGGATCCAAAAACCGAAGTGGAATGATCAAGACATGCAGTTTCTGCAGTTCTGAAACTGTCGTACATGAAGATCAAAGCTGCTTCCCATAATGAATCAGGGCCTATTTCAGTTTTATTTATCTCTTTTAAAGTGTGTTTGCAGCAATACAACATGCCTGGGAGAACAGTACTTCTCAACCATGCATGACCAGTAGCAGACAGAAGCAGTCTAGAAGGAAACCGGGGTTCACAGAACCACCACCTGAAATTCACTTTTCTCCAGTCTGCCTGTCCTTCTCCAAGTGTGCTGTGGCTTCTTCTACCAACCTACCTGCCAGAAATAATCCATATGTGGCTTTATAACATGCTAGCAGTGACCCTGGAGGCTCAGGATTCCTTTCAGTCCTATTGGCCCTGCCCACAAACTCACGGTGGGTGGACCAATAGAATACAGTGGGCCCTCGACTTACGAACTTAATCCGTTCCGGAAGTCTGTTCGTAACCCGAAAAGTTCGTAACTCGAATCAGCATTTCCCATAGGAATGCAGTGGAAACCATTTAATCCGTTCCGGCTGTTTTTGGTTCTTAAGTCGAGGGGCAGTTCGCAAATCAATTCATTAGTTCCCATAGGAACTAATGCAAAGCTGCTTAATCCATTCCTACCACTTTGGTTCATAACTCAATTCCGCGTTCGCAAGTAGGGTCTATAGTTTCCTAGGAGATCAGGTTCGTAACCCGAAATGTTCGCAACTAGGTCAGTTCGTAACTCGATTCCGCATTCGCAGGTAGGGTCTATAGTTTCCTAAGAGATCGGGTTCGTAACCTGAAATGTTCGCAACTAGGGCCGTTCGTAAGTCAAGGGCCCACTGTATCAAGGCCAAAGAAAGCAAAGCATGCTGCTTAGATACCACCCCATAATGCTTAAAGCACTCTCTGGGTGGTCTGCAGTCTAATTATGCAGGCTACACACTGCCCCACCACCAGCAAGCTGGGCACACAATTTACCAACCTCAGAGATAATGGAAGCCTCAAACTGGCTATCTGGGATTGAACCCGGGTTGTGAGCAGAGTTTGGGCTGCAGTACTGCAGTTTAACCACTGCCCCGCGAGGCTCCTTTTCAGAATGCCTGTTAACATATACAGGCACAGGGAAATGGGGCTTTTGTTTCTATTACAATAGTATTCAGGTTCTCTGATAGAGCAACTGGTGGGATTTAAGACAACAAAGGGCGAGAACCACCAAACCAATAAAGGAGCCATGCTTACTCTGGACTTTTAACTGGAGACTGAACGTGGCACTTTTGTGTAGGTCAAACCACACGCGTTATGATTCACCACCTTCACACAACTAGGAACAATCCTTTTTCATCCGCTTTATTGATGCCTATTCATTTAGGCAGACCATTTCATGTGGAAAGTGCTTTACAATTTTTATTAGGTTCGTCCTCACAACAACCCTGTGAGGTAGGTAGGTCACTTTTCTCCATTTTACAAACAGAGAGCAGAGACTACAAAGAGAGAGTTGCCCAAAGCTGGCATAGAAAATCTGCCTACGCCGGAGACATGTATCCATATTCATATCAGATTGCACAATGCAGACCCCAGTGACTTTAAACTGACGCCTCTGACAGAGACGCCCATCCCGGTTCCCGGGTCATTCAGAAGTGCAACACTGGGGTCAGAAACTTGAAACCTAAGGTTCCCATAGACACTATTTACTGGACTACATTATCTCTGCCTAATGCTCAATATTGCAATCTGAGCATGAAAGGCGGCCAGCATATTAACTCTACCTTAACTTTATAGCACATAACAGTCTAAAAATTTAGCCGCTCCGAATATATTTATTTATTTATTTCTCTGTAGAGAATGAGGATGGGTCAGTTTACAGGTGTTTTCACTCTACCCCAGTATAAAAATCTTTTATATAATATATAGATATATATATATAACACATCATGTCACAATAATTTTTTTTTCAAAAAGGAAATGGAGAAATGTTCCATTTGCCTGACCCATTATTGCAAGCACACGTAGACAACCCCCCCTCCCCAATAAAAGTAAGAAAGGGGAAAGTACACCCCTAATATTTAGTGCTAGCTATAAAAAGTTCCAGCAGGGTTGCAACCTGGCATCAAAAGTGATGACCTCAGTTTTAGGAAGTTGTCTGACGTTACAAAATAAAATTAAAATGAGACTTTTGAAGTCGTAAGACACAAAATAAAGTGTAGATTTTCTTCTCTTTCTTCTCCTCACTTTTCTTTCTTCTTCTTTTTTTTTAGTAAGTATACACACTTTAAAAAAGTAAGAGCCGAAAGAAGGCATATTTTAATGCTATTAGAAAGCTATATAAATGTGCACTGGTCCTTTTCTTCTCATTAGGAAAGGCCAACAGAAAACAAAAGAGCACCTCCAGCTTCCAGGAATTTCCTCTGGGGGTAATTTTTTAAAGTACCTGTAAGGAGAATACAATGAAAAGGTTAGCAGAAAAGTTGTTCAAGAAGGAAGGAAGGAAGGAAGGAAGGAAGGAAGGAAGGAAGGAAGGAAGGAAGGAAGGTAGGAAAAGATAGAAAAAGGAAGGAAGTAAGGAAGGAAGGAAGNNNAGGAAGGAAGGAAGGAAGGAAGGAAGGAAGGAAGGAAGGAAGGAAGGAAGGAAGGAAGGAAGGATGATAATATTACATATTTGTTATTCTTACAGTGAAAATCCTGGCTACAGGTCCATATCCTCAAACAAGCTTCTATGTGTCCAGAAGCATCGCGGTGACTGCAGCAGTTTCATTCAGTCTGAAGATATCGATGAAAGCTTCCTGCTGAGGGCGTCTTTCTAACTCTCACTCGCTTTGTTGCTTCCTGCCTGCTGCTGCTTCACTGAAGCTGCCAACCTATACTTATTTCTCCAAGCACGCCTGTGTCCCACTGATTTCCATGATCAATGAAACCAGTTGCTGGAGAGACACATTCAGGCTTCATTTACCAGCCTCTCTGTCTGACCATCACCTACAATGCCTGAAAAGTATACGCCTTTTTGTGTCCCGGCTGCAAAGAAGTGAGGCACCGAAGAAGTGGCTGTGAGAGCCGAAAGGCTGCGGTGAGGAAAGAAAACCACGAAGATGGGTTGATGGATGGTTACAAGCACCAGCCACTACCGTCACCTGGATGCTTCTGAACATATAAGGAGCGGTTCTGAAACCCCTATTGAAGCCAACCCTAAATCATCTGTTCGTCTTCTATGTGCATATCACATCGAGACATTCCCAAAGGGACTTCCATTTTAAACTGGTACATGCAACTTACTCTCAAAACCCCTTTAGAGTACGGGAAAGGAGGGAAAGATGCCACCTCTTAAAAAAATAATTTAATTTGAATGTCTCCTGCCAAGTTCAGCTGCCCCTCTGACTCAGCTGTCATGGCTGAAGGAGCGGACATCTTGAGAAGGCCAGAAAATGACAACGAGAAGCCGGGCCTTCTCAGCAGTGACACCTTCCTTGTAGAAAGCTCTCCCACAGGCACCCTTCCCTTCACACATTCAAAAAAACTCTTAAAAACAGCTGCTCAGAGAAGCTTTGGGAGAGGTTCTCCCCAAGGAGCTGGGAGAGTGGATAAAGGTGGAGAAGAATATTGTAATTTATGATTTGCAATGTTTTATTGCCACTTGTCTTTTTTCCCCTTTCTATCTGTGGTATTGTCTAGTGTTTATGCTAATTATATAATTAACGTTTTATATTTTTTGCTGTACACCAGCCAGACTAATAATTGGCTATGTGGGTGGTATATAAATTGATTGATTGATTGATTGATTGATTGATTCAATGAATGAATGAATGAATGAATGAATGAAGATCTACCGTATGTAAGGTAAAGGTAAAGGTTCCCCTTGACAATTTTTGTCCAGTCGTGTCCGACTCTAGGGGGCGGCGCTCATCCCGCTCTTCAAGCCATAGAGCCAGCATTTGTCCGAAGACAATCTTTCCGTGTTCACATGGCCAGTGTGATTTAGACACGGAACGCTGTTTACCTTCCCACCGAGATGGTACCTATTTATCTACTCGCATTTGCATGCTTTCGAACCGCTAGGTTGGCGGGAGCTGGGACAAGCGACAGGCGCTCACTCCGTTGTGTGGCTTTGATCTTACAACTGCTTGGTCTTCTGACCCTGCAGCACAGGCTTCTGCGGTTTAGCCCACAGCGCCACCACGTCCCGTATGTAGTACTCCAAAAAAGAACTTCAGCTTCCAGGCAGATTTTCGTATACCATTTGGATATTCAATGATTTGAACAGGTATGACTCAAGTATCTAAAGGACATGGGAGCCGTGTGTCTGTCTGAGAAAAGATACTGTGTTAGAAACTCAAAATTTATTGAAAATCTGGGTGGAAGCAGCAGCAGCCAGAGCACTAGTAAGAAGTGCTGTAATGGCATGTGAACACAAAACACAGATGGATCGTGATTCTCCAGACTTCCTAGACAGAACCTGAATAATTTAGGTCTGTGGTTCTTAACCTTTGTTACTCAGATGCTTTTGAACTGCAACTCCCAGAAACCCCAGTCAGGATAGCTGGTGGTGAAGGCTTCTGGGAGTTGGAGTCCAAAACTCCTGAGTAACCCAAGGTTAAGAACCAGTGATTTAGGTCAACATCTTCCACCATCTCCAGCCTGCATGTCTACTGGTTGTGTTGACTGTCAGATTCTGGGACCCATAGTCCAAAATGTAACTTTTCCAAGCTCTAATCTACTGCTATGCACACACCACAGTAGCCATTCAGAACTGCTACAAAAGCCCTGAATCATCACCTCTTCTAAACAGCCAACCACATGCTTGGTTTACGTTTGTTATCAGCCATCTGAAGATTTCTGCAGCAACCTAACTAGCAGAAGTGAGTGTCAACACTTCACAAGGAATATGCACAGAAGCGCCAGGATAAGGCCTTACACATCTCGCCCATCAAGGGGAGGTATCAGCTCCTCACAAACAACCTTGTGCATTTCTGAAGTTAAGGGAAATGGGAAGGTGATCTATGCGATAAACCATTATTGCACAGTGCAGACGGGGAGTGTGTGGCCTTCCTGATCTTGCTGGATTCCCTCATCAATCACCACTGATTATGTTGGCTGGAGCTGATGGAGGTTGCAGTCCATCATCATCTCAAATGCCACACATTCTCTGTTATTGATTGGAATATTCCAATCAACTGTTCCAAGCAACAACGACAGACAGTTGTTTCAATCACTCACTGACAGTGAGAGAAAAATAATGTCTGGAATCCTGTTGAATATTTACACTGACCTAAGTGCATTGGTGTAACTCGAGTTGGCAAACAGATGCTAATTAATGAGTCCCTGGCTGAATTCCTAGGTATGTGCTGAGTCACACAACTGGCGCACCACTAATCATTCAATCAGGGATTTGTTAATTAGGAGACCTGATGGCTTTTTTGCTGCTCCAAGTTAGGCCACTGCACTTACCCTGGTGTAAATACTCAGTTGGATTCTGGCCAATGGTTTTCTGCTCCACTAAGTTTCCTTCCAGAACCTGCAGCTGTACCTGATTATTTGATTTCTATGCTTCCTCGCCATCCATCTCCGCTTCATCCACGTCCGCAGAGTCTGCAGCTCGTGACAAAATATCTGCCATGAGGGCCTCTTCCAATTTTTTGCGTACCTGCTGCACCCGTTCCTCTTGTTTTCTGTGGAATAATTCAGAAATCTATAGCTGAAACCTTCCATACCAAACCTTCAAAAGGAGGATGAAGAAAACAGCCCATTCAAATAAAAACAATAAAACTACCCAGAAGGCAGGAAAACCCTAAGCCACATAACTGATAAATGAGAGACACCAACACCCCAAATCCTACATACATGCTGGACACCGAAGTGTGTCTAACTATTATACGGGTGACCTTTATTAGAACTGCTGGATAGCTCAATGGTTTAGGTCTCTGGCTGCAGAGTTTGGAAGTTGGATTCCAACTGTGCCTTCTTGACAGGGGCTGGATTTGATGGTCCTTCCAGTTATGCAGTTCGAAGACTATAACAGCATTTAGCAAAAGAGCCCAGATTCCCCTCCTCCCTACAAACAAAAATCCAGGACAACAAAAGAGCTCCCACATCTCGCCCAGCCCCCAAATAAAAATGCCTCTTGCTAATGAAGCAACATGAACACTATCCACATGCATTATTGTTCAATAAAATGTCTAAGAATGATGAGAACTACAGCTTTCATAATAGCCCAGCCAGTGTGGCTACTGGAGAGATTCTAGAAGATGGAGTTTCAAACAGGATGGAGCAGGAAGGGATAAGAAGGTTGGATCTTCTGTTGCTTTCTGTAGTTGAGATTTGACGTGGTGGCGCTGCTGCTAAACCACAGAAGCCTCTGTGCTGCAGAGTCAGAAGACCAGCAGTCATAAGATCGAATCCACGCGACAGAGTGAGCTCCCATCGCTTGTCCCAGTTCCCACCAACCTAGTGGTTCGAAAGCATGCAAATGCGAGTAGATCAATAGGGACCACCTCAGTGGGAAGGTAAAATGGCATTCCCTAGTCACACTGGCCATGTGACAACAGAATCTGTCTTCGGACAAGTGCTGGGTCACCGTCTACGGCTTGAAAACGGGATGAGCACCGCCCCCTAAAGTCAGACACGACTGGACTAAAAATGTCAAGGGGAACCTTTACCTTTACCTTTGATAACAAAATCTGCAACAGGTACAACAGAAAGGGACCATCTAATTAACCAGTTGAAATCTGCTATTAAAAAAAACCCCACACACCTCAAACAGAAGTCCTGCTTAAAGAAATTATAGTCAGTATCGCCATCCACTATTTACACATGTGGTGCACCAACCATGGATGCTGTTATGACAACTTGCTAAAATGCTGGTCATGGGCCTCCTCACGTGACCTGATCAGAGAGCTTCAGTAGCTTCTGCAATTGGAGCTGTGTGGACGTAAATACTGAGCAAAATACTAGAACGGGTCTTTTGAAGACTGAGTTACAGCAAGGTCCTCTTAGAGAAGGAGATTCTGTGATCAGGAACTGAACTGATCATCAGAGACAATCAAACAATCTCTAGAGAACACAGAAGAACAGACTGCCCTGAGATCCTGTATGGCTTTAACAAATGCAGATATGCAAATGGAACTGCTGCAAATACACTTTTCTCTATTAGGATCCGGGATCCAAAAAAGCTACAATAAATGTAAAAGTGCTGGAGAAAACAGAGAGCTTGCATCTGCCTTGTTTGTCGAAGTCCTTCTGTAATTTATTTCAGTCCCAAGAACCGTATTGGAAAGACAAAAAGGAGAGATCCGACACGGATCTGATGGTCCCAGTTGACTGCCTAAGAACGCCTTCTACGTCAACACGCCTGCTTAGCGAATTCCATTACAACATGGAAGGGAAGAACTCAGGGCAAGAATGGGGATAAGATGACCCTCCAAAAGTCGCTGAACTGCATTTCCCTGTCAACAGCAGGCTCAACGGCCAAGGATGATGGAAGGCGCAGTATGTGAGTAACTGGAGCGTCCACACAACCTCCAGCTCCTTAAGACATTCGGCAAGCCTGTCAGGTTTCCAAACTTCAGCAGCAGACTGACCATATCCCTTCTAAACTATTCATGGAGCCCCTCTAACAAGGAAAAATGAACCTTGACAAAAAAAGAGATGGTTTAAAAAGAGATGCCAGTTCTTGAATTATTCAATGATGGAACAAAAAAGAGAAAAAGAAGGGGCAAGGAAGGATCATTTCCAGAACTCTAGCAATCTCTGGTGGTCTCTCGTCCCTGTGCTAAGCAGGCTTGGGTGTGGTTAGCTTCTACATCCAGGCAAGACTCTGTGTATTCAAACACAGGAAGATATACTACTGAAACAAGGAACTGGTCCACCTAGGAAAGTACGGTCAACTCAGATTGGCAGTTGGCTCTCCAAGATTTCAGGATGGATTCTTTCCAAGCCCTACCTGTAAATCCCTGGTGGGAACCCATCCAAGTTCTAAACAGCCCCAATCCTGCTTCACTTCTGAAATAAGATGAGATTGGGTGTGCTTTGAGTAGAATGTTGGTTTCATTTGATGAGATAAAGAACACTTAACCAAATGATGGACAAAGGTCTTAAAAGCATTTATGTTGGGGGGGAAAGAGAAGGACTATAATAAAATTTTGTTATCAATATATTTGATCCTAATAATGGTGATGTTTACAGGTTGTTTATACGAATTATTTCCCAATAGATTTATAGTTTTCTCAAATGCAACTGCATCCCAACTGACAAGCAGAGAGGATTGCATGAAGAAATCCTATGGCTGCAAGAAATTGCCCACAATTGATTCTTTCATATTCAATCAGGCTTGAAAGAATTCCAGAAATGTGTCAGTTGCTTATATTGACTACCGAAAGGCATCTGATTCTGTGCCCTATTCATGAGTCCTTGAGAATCTGAACATTTATAAAACTGATAACTGAATTATTGTTATTGCTATCTAAATGCATAAGGAAAAGGAGAGCAACATTAAGATTTCAAAACCTCCTCTCCAATAACACCCTTATAAGAAGAGGTATTTTGCAAGGTGATTTTTGAGCCCTTTGTGGTTCCTTCTGGCTTTAAATTCCCTATCCAGAGAACTGAGTGCTACAAGCCTAATGATCAAAGAAAGGGCCTTGACATTTCACACAATATATGTGAGTGATATTAAGTTATTTGCCAGTTCTCCTTACAATCTAGTCTCTCAAACATTGCTGAGTCTTACAGCACAGATATCAAAATGAATGTTGATGTTGATAAATATAAATATTCTATTATCAGCATCAAATTGTTAAAGGGCAGTAACTATGAGTTCACTATTGAATAATTTATTCAATGCTTGGAGGAGCAGAAAACCTATAAATATCTGGGCATCCTTGAAAAGCTCAACATAAACTGCAAAGTTAAACATTATTCAGGAACAAGTACTTTGACAGAGTGAAGGCAGAACTCGATGCAAGGAAAAATTACAGCTATTAATAGTTGGGTAATACCAGTATTAACATATTCATTTGGAATTGCAGATTGGGAAGTATTGCAATCTTAATGATTCAAACAGGACTTGACTCCTAATTTTGAGGCTTGATCCTATTGCCCCCCCCCTTTCTGCAGGTACCAACAATAAAGAGAAATAAGAAGATTAAGGATGGTGAGAAAGCTCAGTGGTTTAGATATCTGCTTGGGAAGCCAGAGGTTGGGAGATCAATTCCGTACACTGAACACCTTGACAGGGGCTGGGTCCCACAGGGTTCCTTCCAGCTCTGCAGTTCTAAAATGCTGCTGCTGCTCATCATCATCATGATCATCATTATTATTAAGAATAAGAACAGTTTAAATCCAAACAAATTATACAGCGGCTACTAGGTAAGAAGGCCCGACAATGCAACACCCCCTCCCCCTCTTCAAAGCTTCCTTAAAATGTCAAGTATTTATACAGAAAAGACAGTGATCTGACATCTGTCCAAATAATGTGTTTAAAGCTCTTATATCCGTATCAAAGAAAGGAAACTATCGTGCTTTCTGGTTTATTTTAGAACTCCTCGATCAAGTTCACGCTGAGGCTACAAAAGTGCCCAGTAAAACACATCTCTCTTAATAATAAAGATGCTTTATGCTGCTGTTTACAGATCTTTTACTTTATCTTCCCATTCAGTACATCATGCTGGGTCAGGCTTTGGTAGTGTTGTGGGGCAGTAATGTCAGTGCTGACGAATGAGATTTATTTTTAAGCCACACTCGGGCAATACGAGGATAGTTCCAGAAACTACAGGTCAGAGAGCTGGTGGCTGAGAATAAGGTAGGTACTCCATGCATACAGAGCAGATGATAGAAGAGAGAAAGGGGGATTGGTTTCCAGAGCTGAAGCAGCTTTAAAAGCCATGTGAGGGAGAAAAGACATTATCAAATGCCATTCCGCTGGCATTTACAGAATAAGCTTAAAATACAGGGGTGGAAAACAGAAAGGCACTTTTTTTTTAGAAAGTCTGTAATGCTCCAAGTGGGAGTCATGAATGTCCTTTGCTTTAGAAAAGCTTTCTTTCTTTCTTTTTCAAGAAATATGGGGAATGACTTTATACACCAGATTGGACTATTTGTCCAATCTGGTGGACTAAACTAAACTAGCATTTTCTTCTGTCCCTGACAAAAGGCTTCCCAGAGTCTCTGACTTGATATATTTCCAATCCGGATTGAGTTACCTGGCCTAACAGGCCTGTACCTGGCCTCCAGAAGGCAACAATTCCTTCCTCGTAACAACATTGTTTGTTGCTTTCCTAGATTTTGTAAATCTCCCCTGCTCTCTTCTGAAAGGTAAATGTCCCACCTCAAGCTTAGTTATTAGAAGCAAGAGCCACCCACCACTGAAATGAGTCTCCGAAGAACTCCTCCTAAATTAAATTTGGTCCTCTGAACTGAAAGGTGTTCACCCAGTCCCTGGAGATACCAGAGACTGAACCCAGGATGTTCTGCATGCACAAGAACCAAAGCAAGCACACAGAACAAGACAAAAAGACTGAAGGGTTGTTCAAAACGAAGGAATCAAGCAACCCATCCAGTGCTTCTACAGTGGTGCCTCCACTTATGACCATAATCCGTTCCAGAAGATGGATGTAACTCAAAATGGCCATAAGTCGAAGCACCATTTCCCATACGAATGCATCGAAATGCAATT